GTACTTACTGATAAGCATTTTGGATTTATATAATTTTCTTGTTGACAGAATACAGTTGGTTCAAACTTTACAAATCAGATTTACCATAGTTGAATCCTGATTATGTAAGAAACAGGTTAACTGAAATTCAGATATACATACACAAGCAAAACTAATATACCCTTAGTACTAAAGAGTTAGTCTCTGATAAAATGACTAACTTCTAGGTTTTGATTCATCTTACATTTTTAATTTCAAGGAGTTAAATGAGAATTTTTTTCATACAAGTAAAGCCTGATTGTTCATAAAACTGAGTATTTTTACTCATCTGATAATATAGTGGTGAAATGTTAAGACAGAAAGACTTTGTGATTAAATGGAATAAATTTGATTAGCACACAATGAAAAAAATCAACACAAGAATGATGTATTTGAGAACATTTTTAATAAATAATGTGACAAAATTACTTTTCTGATTATTGAATCTTCAGTATGCAAAATTATGGCTAAAAATAAGAGGCTTCTTACATGAACATAATGAAAACATTAATCACATGGATTGTTCCCTTATGCTGCACACCCTTTCTATGAAACTTTTTCAAATTATCTAAATGAACACATTTAGTTTTTGGTGAACACCAGACTTTTTTTGTGGTTCAGTTTTGTTTGGCTTTGTTTTCCAGTGGGGTCAGGCCTGCTACCTGTGTATGAATAAATGTACATTTTTTTTTCTTCAAATAGCACCAATTATAAAGTCAATGAAATTTACGTAATGACAAAAAAGGATCATAGAAATCTACAGAGGGCATCATTTGGCAATTCAAAGCAGGTAATGCCTCTATTTGAGCTTATAAGGAAATCTTGCAATTTTCAACATTGCCCACAACAAACTTAAACCTTTTTTTCTTTAAGTCCAGGAAAAATAAGAACCATTTGGTTCTTGGCCCACAATAAAGTATGCACGTTACTTCACCATCTGTCATCATTCAAATATTCCAAATACAAACATAGAGCATTAACAAAACAGGTTAAAAACGCTTCTCAACATTTTTTTCAATAAGACAAAAAAGGTTAATAGTTACAATGGTTTACAAATAAAGTTTAGTGATTGTGCTTTTAAAACCAAAAAAAAAAAAAA